CCATGATAGTGTTTGTGGGTAATACATATGGAATTGCTAACTTACAAAGTTATGGTTTGGTTCGTCCATCTCCTTCTCCATTTGGGCCTCTGCCACAGCCTCCTAACCGGCCTCCCCACCTCCAGTCCTTGATTCTTAAAAATGCAGCCTGCCCAGGAAGTCCATGGATTCCAAGAGGCACAGCTTACTTTGTGATTGTCTTCCTTGAAACTCAGTAAGCTCTTTTGGTTGCCTAGAGCATGGTGGTGTCAGAACCAGCATCATCTGCATCACCTGAGAATTTCTTAGAAATACAAATTCTCAGGCCTTATCCCAGGCCTAGGAGGTCAGAAACTCTGGGGGCGTGGGGAGCAACAACATATGTTTAAAAAACTTTTTAGGTAATTCTAAGTCAGGCTGAAGTTTGACAACCTCTACCCAAAAGGATAAAAAACAAGCTGCTGCTTTGGAAAAACCCTCCTGTGGGATGGTTCTCACCACCTTTTCCAGCTTCTCCCCCATTTCATGCCTTGCATTTTATACTGTAGTAAATCGTCTGCAGTTGCCTGCATAAATCATTCTCTATCTCATTTTCACTTGTTTACTCAAATAGACTCTCTGGTGCAAAATCTCCCTGCCCCTCACCTGGTCAATTCATGCTGATACTTGAACACTTAGCTCCAGGGTTGTTTCTCTGGGAAGCATTCTTCCTGCCTCCCTGCACCTCCTTAGGAGCTCTCTCAGGACCCTGTGCCCATCTCTGTAATTAAGGTAAACTTACTGCATTATATTTATTTGCTTATGTCTATTTCTATTACTACATTGTGAGCTCCTTTTGTCAGAGACTCTGCTGCTTTCATTTTTAATTCATAGCACTTAGCCGTGTTTGCTTGACAGGTAGTCAGTTACTTGACAATCACTGAATGATTTATAAATGAGTGAAATAATAAATGAATAAATACTTGCCAATGTTTCTGTCAAATCTATGGTTCTACTCCTGCATTTTCTGTAGTTAAGTAAAAATTCCCTTTAATTCACTAGACATGGCAAGCCCAATAGATATTAATTCTATCCCCCTTTTCAAGTTATCAAATGCAAGACAGATTCTTCCTATCCTATTACTTCTACATGATGCCTCAAGCCTCGCACACTTTGTCCAAGGGCCAATCTTAGCTCTTTCCCAGTCAGTGACATTGTCGTATTATAAATTCGGCAGGAGCAGAGATATCTGATTGATTTCTGTCACTTATCAGCACGTTCATTCATCTGAGTTTGCTGTGGTATCATCATGAAGCTAGTATAGACTGAATCAGAGGAAGTGCTTTTTAAAAATTCCACTCACTGCTCCCTTAGGGCTTCTCTATGCTGCCAGAGTAGAATAATATATTTAGAAGAAGAAAGAAAAACAGCTCATTACTCTTTATTCATATTCCTATTTCTTCTTTTACTTAGGAGCCCCATTGCATTAAAGGTATGCATATTCAGACAGATTTGAAAATGAGACATTAAGTAGTCCTGTATGAAGTAGCACAAGGAGAAAACAAGACTGGTTCTGGAAGTCATTTCTGTTCCCCTTCTTCTGCATCCACGCATCACCTGAATGACAGAGATGTACATATTTGCTGTTCCATCTGCTGCAGGGCCCGCACACACAGCAGCTCAACCTGTGGAGGCTGTTGGGCCATGCTGATACTGATCAACCACATGCTTCTGTCCACTTTCCTTTTGTCATTACAGATTACAGTTAGAAATATACCTTCTGGCCATGGGTTTGGATAGACAGTAACAAATAAATAGTAATGATGACAATTTACTCTTTTAGGGCATTTGTATTTTTCACCAGCCTTTCCCATTTATTCTCATAGTTTCTTTTATTCTTACATTTGTGGAAATATGATCATTTTGGATTTATTGATAAAGCTATGAAATTAAAAAATTCAACTTAAAGTAATTCAAACTTAAAGTTGTTGGAACTTTACATTCTTAACACTTTTTCCATTTTAGTTTGAAGAAAAAATTGACTATGTTTACTTTTTTTTTTTGAGATAGGGTATCAATCTTTTGCCCAGGCTGGAGTGCAGTGGCATGATCAGGCTCACTGCAACCTAGATGCTCCCTCCTCAGCCTCCTGAGTAGCTGGGAATACAGATGTGCATCATCAAGCCTGGCTGATTTTTGTATTTTTTGGAAAGACTGGATTTCACCATGTTGCCCCGGCTGGTCTCAAACTCTTGAGCTTAAGTAATCCTACCATGTTGGCCTCCCAAAGTGCTGAGATTACAGGTGTGTGCCAATACACCCAGTGGGAACTTTAAATTTTCCTGAGCCTTGAGGGCAGGGTAGCTATACCATCTGAGTCATGTGGCTTGCGGCTGCAACTTCTGCTTTTTTCTTTTCTTTTTTCTCTAAATAATTAAGACCAAACAGTGCCAGAGCCAAGACACCCACTGAGATCACTACCCCTTCTCAGGGAGTTATAGAGTAAACCACCTTGGAATGTAGCAATTTTAACCAATTATATTGCTGTGGCATATGCACTAATCTTGCATGGAAAATGTTGTAATCCTGCTAAGATTTCTATTTAAGTGAAACCTTCTCCACTTTGGAATGCTGACCCCATTTATTTGATTTTGGTGTCTTGGGTGGCCATCCTCAGGCTTTACAGTTAAATAAACTATATTTAATTATATTTTCTGAATTTCATGATTGAAGGCTGACAAAGCTGTGGCAGGAAATGCAAAATCTCCCAAGGTTACTTAGCAGGTCACCCGTGGACTGGAAGTAGAACACCTTTTTCTAGTTCTCATTTAGTTACTGGATAAGAAGGAGCCAAGATGGAAGGAGCCAGATGGCAAATTGTTGAACAGGGTTTGCAGAACCTTTGTGCCATGTGTTAGTAGGTGTACCAGGGGCAAATATATGACAAATATATTCAGTATGTTGGCCAGGAAGGGTCAAAGCAGAACTCGAGTCCGACTGTTCAGGTTTGAATTTTAGGTCTTCCACTTGCTAATTGTGCATAATGAACAAGTTACTTAAACTCTCTGAAACTTAGTTTCCTCCTTTGTAGATGGAGAAAATTGTAATAACTATTTCATGTGCTTGATTTGAGACTTAGATGAATTAATATATAAAGAGCTTAAAGTTATATCTTAAAGTGATAAGAATTACTCAATAAATGTTAACTCCTATTATTATTCAACTCCAAATTCCTCTGTGAAGACCTCTCTCATTACAGCAATGAATCTGTGTTGCTCTCTTTCTTCTGTGGACCATGGTTATAAAGAACTTTTTTAAATGACACAACTTAGCCATCAGAATATACTGGCTAATACTCTAAAAATCATTAAAGCTATGTTTGTTTCCCTAATTATGTTGCAAACTCTGGAGACTGACTCTATGCTGTATACATCTTCTGAATCAATGCCAAGCCCTTAATTAATATTTGGGTGAATGACTTTTGGATAAAATGGCTTACATTATGCTATTTTTTTTTCCAAAATTGTTTTTTAAACAAACATCTGGTGAGGTGTGGTAGCTCAAGCCTGTAATCTGAGAGCTTTGGGAAACCAAGGTGGGAGGATTGCTTGAGGTCCGGAGTTCAACACCAGCCTGAGAAACCTAACAAGACCCCATCTTTACACACACACACACACACACACACACACACACACACACACACACACACAAAATTAAAGTCAGCCAGGCATGGTGGTTCATGCCTGTAGTCCTTGCTATTTGTGAGGCTGAGGTAGGAAGACCACTTGAGCCAGGGATTGTGAGCTGCAGTAGATGATTTCCAGACTAGGCAACAGAGTAGGACTCTGTTCTTAAAACAACAAAAACAAACATAAAATCTGTCTGGCATATTTGATTTTAATATGTTTTTTGCAAATTACCTTATTTACATTTTTTGATACTGTGTAGCTGAAAACATTCTATTATACCCATTTCACCGATGACATATGAGCAGTTGAACATCCACATGACAAACATATTAAGTATATTGGCCAGAATTTGAACCCAGGTCTTCTGGCTCCAAAATTATGTTTCCTTCTTTTTTTTAAAACCGTACTTGAAGTGTCTGGTTAAGTCAGACTGAACCAAACGTCTGATAGTCATTTGCTTTATAAATTTCCTTTTTTGTTTCCTCATTTGGAGATCTCTGTTTAGGGAATTAAAGCAGGCTCATTCGGAAGGGCTAGAAACCAGGATTCCAATTAAAGGGTGATATACATAGGATTGGAATACATCAGCCATGCCCTCTCGGGCCTCTGGGTCAAGGCCGGACTGCCCAGCGGGACTGGTGGCAAGCATTTTCTTTCTTTCTGGCCATACCTACAAGGCAGTTGAGATTTTAGTAGCATAGCCAAGCAAGGAATAATTATTTAGTGACCTGAAAATATAAAAACCTGGGAAAACAAACAAAATTTTATGACAATTTCAAAACGCTTATTAGAGTAGAGGAATATTTCCTAATTGGGAAAATCCTTCTGAATTGCAGACATTAACTGTGCAGATACTGCATTAAAGTAAAATAAACATCTAAGCTTAGCTTAGTTTTCTATGCCTAAGAAAGAGGGTCACCAGTATTCCTTCCGATCTTCATATTTGGAATATCCTGGAGTGACAATTAGGGACAGGCCCTCCGTACCATGATCTTGTAGTTTGATTCAGCAGCATGAAGCTCTCCAGGCTAAACTTCTTTTCAGAGAGTTTATTTTCTTCACCATAGTCAAAAACTCAACAGCAGAATGTGAAGAGATGGCAGGTATTCAAAGAGAGATTAATAAGTGGACTATTTTCAAATGAGAAGCAACGTATAGAAAAGCCACAGGGGAAGTAACAGAGGGTGGAGGGTGTGTTTTGAGGCCTGGAAGGATAAAAGAGGAGCGGTTACTGGAACTCAGAGACATAATTAGGTAGCAAGAGCAACCTGATCAGAGCAGGATGCTTCCATATTGAGAATCAGCCAGGACTCTGCAGGGAAGGGAGGCCAGGGGTACACTGACCCGTCTTTGTCTTCCTCTCTCCCATTTCATAACAGTGTTCCACATTGGCTGGACCAACTGGGAGCCAAAGGCCATCTGATGCCATCCGTACAGGTCAGCCTCCAGGGCACAAGGCAGGGGGGAGGGATAAACAGAGATGGAGAGCGGGTGGTGGTGAGGACAAATGAAAGACAGGAGGCCTAACATCAGTGAGTCTTTATCAGGAATGAACTTTTTTCTGGATAAATTGTTCTTTTTTTAATGCAGCACAAGGCTCTAAGCAGTCAACAGTTTCATATTCTACTTGGATGTGTTTCCTGGGTATGCAGCGGGATCCTTGACTTGCAGTTCATTCTGGGATAATGCCTCTTTCTTAGAGTTGGAGGAAGAAAAGAGTGTGCAAAGGACTAAAATTTCTGTCCCTAAGGTGTTCATCTCTAAGAAGTCCTTGGGGTGAGATTGGAGGGCGGGGGTCATAAACCTGGAAGAATAAGAGAAGAAAGTGATGCCTCTCTTGTGGTCGGATGAAGGGCTTCATTGCTTGCTTCCCTTTGGAAGCATACACGTTGTCTAAAGCACCTATGCTGCCCAGCCTGGCTTTTCTAAATTCTCCATCTTCTTCTCTTTGTTTTCTGACCTGTGTTCTCTACCCACATTGGCTGCTGGAACACAAGCTTAGCATGAGCTGCTGGGCTTCTTGCTAAGTTCCTAGAAGCTGCAACTCTCTCGTTGTGTGCTACTCCGGTCATTGTCTGCAAGGTATTTATGCTCTCTTGTTTCTACCATGCAGAAAAAATGGTGCTTGTCTCCTCCTCTGAGGTGTGTATGGAAAGAGCAGGTCCCCAGCGCTAGGGGAGAGAGAGCTGTGGAATAGGGTGCGTGGTTCTGCTTACCCGTGGTAGTTAAGGGTGACTAACAGACTTTCCAACAAAATGTCTTTGGAACGTGAGGTTCCTCTTTTGTTATCTCTTTCAAAAGTGTTCAGATTAATTCACTGTTATGGCCTTTTGGGCTTGGAGTTTTTTTTTTTTTTGTGGAAACATTTTAAATTATAGGTTAATTTTTAAAAGTTGATATATAATTAGTCAAATTTTCTTTTTGTCTTTGTGTATATTTTTATAAGTCAAATTTATTCAAGGGATTTATCTGTTTCTTTTTTTTGCATAAAGTTGTTTGTAATATCTTTTTAAATAAATTTTTCCTAATATTTGCTCTTAAATTTCTTTTCTTTTTCTGGCTCACCTGTTTTTTGATAGTTTTCATTCATTTTATTTTTGTAATTGATGTAGATATTTTGAGGTACCAATTTCCACTGACCCCTACTTTAATGCATCCACAGACTGAGATGTAATGTTTTTATCATCATGTTTCAGAAATTTTGTAATTACAATTTGTATTTCCTTTTTTTTGTTTGTTTTCGTTTTTGTTTTTTTTAAGGGGGTCTCACTCTGTCGCCAGGCTGGAATGCAGTGGTGTGATCTCAGCTCACTGCAACCTGTGCCTTCTGGGGTTCAAGCGATTCTCCTGCCTCAGTCTTCTAAGTAGCTGGGATTATAGGTGCCTGCCTGGATAATTTTTGTATTTTAGTAGAGACAATGTTTCACCATGTTGGCCAGGCTGGTCTTGAACCTGACCTCAAGTGATCCTCCCACCTCAGCCTCCCAAAGTGCTGGGATTACAGGTGTGAGCCACCATCCTCAGCTCTATTTCCCTTTTGCCCAAGAGCTAGAAAGTCTTTAAATTTCTAAGTTCAAGGACTGTTTATCTTTCTTTGTTTCCATTCTTTATCTTTTTGGCATTGTAATCAAAGAGTTCTACTGTATGGAACCTACTGGTGTTTTTTTTTGAACTGAGGTATATGATCAATTTTCATTCAATGTGCACTTGAGAAAAAGGTATATTCTCTACTGTCGGGATGTAGTGTTTGATACATACCTAAAAGATCCACTTTACGTTCTTTAGCTAGTTTACAACTTTACCTTTTTGGTCTACTTAACCAATGTTGTTTGAGAATGATATGTCAAGTGTTCTATTAGTAGTATGTTTCTGCTTATTTCTCCTTGCATTTTATAAAAGTGTTTGCCAGGTTATTTGGTGCCTAGATATTTGTAACTGTTATATTTTTAATGTAGTGTAAACAAAAAATAGAATTTTAAGCCCCCCAACCTTCTGAATAGATGTCTCCCCTTGGCCAAGGGCATTTCAAAGTTAATCTGAAAAACGAGTTCAGGCCATGATGAAAAGTAGGGGGCAGTCGGACATACCTCATTACCATTAACATCAACACAGACCTTAAGACTGATAGAACAGACTCTTTAAGTCTGTTAAGAAATATTTACAACCTATTCTCTCTGAAGCCTGCTACATGGAGGCTTCCTCTGCATAATAAAAGCTTGGTCTCCACAACCCCTTATCATAACCCAGACTTTCCTTTTTATTGATACCAGATTTTTAACTGCCAATCAGAAAATCTTTAAATCTACCTATGACCCGGAAGCCCCTGCTTCGAGTTGTCCTGCCTTTCCCAACCAAAGCAATGTACATCTTAACATGTATTGATTGATGTCTTATGTCTCCCTAAAATGTGTAAAACCAAGCCATACCCCAGCAACATGTGTACATGTCAGGACCTCCTGAGGCTGTGTCAAGGGTGCATCTCTGACCTTGGCAAAATAAACGAAATTGGTTGCGAGTTGCCTCAGATAATTTTTCGTTCACAGGAGAATGTGGCTTTTAATAGTAAAATGTCCTCCTTTGTCTCCCTGAATGCTTTTTGTCTTGATGTCTACTTGGTAACAGCACTGTGACCTCTGCTTTCTTTTACTTGGTACATTTTTGCTATCCCTTTACTCTTAATCTTTTTGAATTATTCATTTTAACTGTATCTCGTATATATGGCATAGAGTTAGGTTTTGCTTTATATACCGATTTTTAAATCATTTTTATTAACAGATAATTTAAGCATATTCACAGTTTTTGATATGATTATAATGTTTAGTCTCAATTCCATCCTATTATTTTATTTTATTTTTGAGACAGAGTCTTGCTCTGCTGCCCAGGCTGGAGTGCAGTGGCACGATCTCAGCTCACTGCAAGCTCTGCCTCCCTGGTTCAAGTGATTCTCCTGCTTCTCAGCCTCTTGAGTAGCTGGGATTACAGGGGCATGCCCCTGGGCCTGGCTAATTTATTTTTTAGAGATGGGGTTTCACCCTGTTGGCCAGGCTGTCTCGAATTCCTGATCTCAGGTGATCTACCTGCCTCAGGCTCCCAAAGAGCTGGGATTGCAGGCATGAGCCACCATGCCTGGCCCACCCTACTATTTTAAATTGAGATTATCATGTTCACTATCCTAAATTTACTAGCTTTTCCCCTCTCTATTTGGTATACACTCTTTGGCTTTTAAAATTTTGTTTTGGTAGTTAAGAAAATTTATATTTTTATTCTAAGTAGTTACCTTTGTATTAATACATTTTATTTATGTTCAATCCCTTTTATTTTTACTTATGTTTTATCATCTTCAGTTTTAAATGGTGCCCTTTGACTCCCATCTATTATCTGTACATAATAGGTAATGATTTGGTTCTATTTTCCATTTTGTCCCTCTTTTTTGTTTTAGTTTCTTTTTATAAAGTCTTCATTTTTTTTTGAGACAGGGTCTCACTCTGTGGGCCAGGCTGGAGGACAGTGGCACAATCATGGCTCACTGCAGCCTTGACTACCTCACACTCAGGTGATCTTCCTACCTCAGTCTCTCATGTAGCTGAGACTATAGGCACATACCACCTGCCTGGCTAATTTATCTTAGTAGAGAGGGGATTTCATCATGTTGCCAAGGCTGGGCTCAAACTCCTGAGCTCAAGCAACATGCCACCTTAGCCTTACAAAGTGCTGGGATTACACATATGAGCCACCAGGGCTGGCCCGCTTTGTCCCTTTTGCTCCCACTTTTCAGTTGTACTCTTTTGACTTGTCAGAATATATGATATTTATGTATGATGACTTAGCCCATAACCCACTCTTGTTTTGTTCTTCTAGAATTGACTTGACTATGTGGGCTCTTTTTTAGTTCCATATGAGGTTTAAGGTGTTTTTTTTCCAGTTCTGTGAAGATAGTCATTGGTAGCTGGATGGGGATAGCATTGAATCTATAAATTACTTTGGGCAGTATGGCCATTTTCATGATACTTATTCTTCCTAACCATGAGCATGGAATGTTTTTCCATTCGTTTGTGTCCTCTCTTATTTCCTTGAGCAGGGGTTTGTAGTTCTCCTTGAAGAGGTCCTTTACATCCCTTGTTAGTTGTATTCCTAGGTATTTTATTCTCTTTGTAGCAATAGTGAATGGGAGCTCACTCATGATTTGGCTCCCTGTTTGTCTGTTACTGGTGTATAGGAATGTGTGTGACTTCTGCATATTGGTTTTGTATCCTGAGACTTTGCTGAAGTGGTTTATCAGCTTAAGGAGATTTTGGGCTGAGATGATGGGGTCTTCTAAATATACAATCATGTTATCTGCAAATAGAGACAATTTGACTTCCTCTTTTCCTAATTGAATATCCTTTATTTCTTTTTATTGCCTGACTGCCCTGGCCAGAACTTCTAATACAATGTTGAATAGGAGTGGTGAGAGAGGGCATCCTTGTCTTGTGCCAGTTTTCAAAGGTTATGCTTCCAGTTTTTGCCCTTTCAGGATGATATTGGCTGTGGGTTTGTCATAAATATCTCTTGTTTGGATAGTTTGAGATATGTTCCATCAATACCTCTATGCAAATAAACCAGTAAATCTAGAAGAAATGGATAAATGACACTTACACCATCCCAAGACTAAACCAGGAAGAAGTCAAATCCCTGAATACACCAATAACAAGGTCTGAAATCGAGGCAGCAATTAATAGCTTACCAACCCAAAAAAGTCCAGGACCTGACAGGTTCACAGCTGAATTTCTGCCAGAGGTACAAAGAGGAGCTGGTCCCATTCCCTCTGAAACTATTCTAAACAATAGAAAAAGAGAGAATCCTATGCAACAATCTTGCATGTTCTTCACATGTACCCCAAAACCTAAAATGCAATAAAAAAAAAAGGAAACCCACAGGGTGTGACCTACTATTAGAAG